GGTAAACTGTGGTCAATGACATGAGACAAAGTATATGTGAACTGCTGTATGGAAAGTGAATTTGCTCTGTAAATCTTCACCCAAATAAAATAAATGAATAAATAAATAATAAGAGTGTGTAAGTTTTAGGCAGAAAAGAGAAAGTGACAGATTGTTTTCTACTCAAAATGGGGCCCCAGGAAGCTGTACCCTGTAGGGTCACTGAAGCATGTTTGCCCCGGTTATGGAAAGAATTGCTCTCTTGGAAAAATGCAGAAGAGCTCAAAAGGCAGAAAGACATCCATAACCCCAGTTCCCTCTCAGACTGGCTGTTGGGTGCCATTGAGTCGATTCTGACTCCAGGTGACCCCATGTCCAGAGTAGAGCTCTCCATCGGGTTTTCAAGGCTGTGACCTGTCAGAAGCAGATCACCAAGCCTGTCTTCCGAGGTGCCTCTGGTTGAGTTCGAACCATCAGCCTTTCGGCCAGTAGTGGAGCACTTCACCATCTGCCCCACCCAGGGACCCCGCTCAGACTCCCTCTCAACCAGTCCCTTACTCCAGTGTCTCTTCTTCCTGCTGTCCCCACCTAAAAAGCCAAGTCTGCTTGAAGGAAGTAACAGTTTTCTCTAGGCTTTCCTGTCTTCCAAATTTTGTGTAAAAACCCATATTGGAGTTATTTCGGAAAATTGGAATGACCATTTAAAGCATGGCAGTGGTGTCATCCGTCCTTGTTACGCAGTATTCGGGAGTGGAGCGAAAGAAGTAGACGTTCTAAATTTTGCAGTGCTTGTCCTGTGACGTAGGTAGTCATTTAGTCATTCCAACTTCTAAATCTTGTCCCAGGCCCTCAGAGTCAGCCTCTTAGAGGTTTCTGCCTGCAAAGTGGGTGGGCGAGCTTTAAAACTTCCTTTGTTGGTCCCACAGGTGACTTGCCCCAACACCTTCAAGTAATGATCAACCTTCTGCGTTGTGAAGACAGAATCAAACTGGTGAGAAAAGATGAGCGGGCACGTGGTCAGTGTTAATTGGGAGACTTGGTGGGAACCTCATGAACAGTGGGTTGGGGGAGGGAAGCCTTGAGGTTACACCGAACTCTCTCGAATTGTTCACAAAGCCCAAAGCCTGGTTTGCTCCTCGGTAACCCACAGGGCTGGTAAAGGCAGGTGTCTCTGTTGTTTTAGCCACTGATTTGGCTCTGACTCATGGTGCCCTTAAGTATAGCAAAACGAAATGGTGCCTGATTCTACACCATTTCCATGGTTGTTGGTAACGGGACTATGTTCTGTTGTGATCCATAGGGTTTTCTTTGGCTCATTTTTGGAAGTAGGTCACCAGACCTTTCTTCCTAGTCATTCTTAGTCTGGCCACTCCACTGAAACCTGTCTACCACAGGTGACCCTGCTGGTATTTGAAGTGCTGGTGACATAATGTGTGGAGCTCTGGTGGCACAGTGCCTAAGGCATTTGACTGCTAACCAGGAGGCTGGCAGTTCAAATCCACCAGCCACTCTGCAGAAGGAAGACTGGGCAATCTACTTCCATAAAGATTTACCACCTCGAAAGCCCAATAGGGGTCACTGTGAGTCAGAATCGACTCGATGGCAGTGGATTTGGTTTGTGTTGGGTGACATAGTTAACAGACCGGCCAGTGGAGGAATGGCTCGGAGCTCTCTGTTAGCCTGGCTTAGATTAGAATCTTCATTCCCTGGATTTCATTTGGTCACTCAGTTAACGGACATTGCTTGTCTCTGGGGGCCAGCCACTGTCCCTGGTGCTAGGGATCTCAATGAGACATGCTGATGCTCTCAAGGATTTCCTGAACTCAGGTATCAAGAGGAGTTGGAAAGGGTAGAAAACAGGACTTGTTGATTGTGGTTTGGCAAGGGATGTGGGGGCACCGCCTTGAAAGGCTGACCGTGAACAGTCTCTCCCCGGTCTAGGCTGTGCGCTTAGAGAGCGCCTGGACGGACCGTGTCCGGTACATGGTGGTGGTATACAGCAGCGGGCGTCAGGACACGGAGGAGAGCATCCTGCTGGGAGTTGACTTTTCCAGCAAGGAAAGGTGAGTGTGATGGGGAGGGTGGTTCCCTTCCGGGACGTGTCTTGGTTCCCTAACTCACTAACTCACTGCCGTCTAGTCAGTTCTGACTCCTAGTGACCCCGCCTTCGGTTTCCAAGGCGGTATCTCTACAGAAGTAGATTGCCCAGTCTTCCTTCTGAGGAGTGGCTGGTGGGTTTGAACCACTAGCCTTCTGGTTAGCAGTCAAATGCCTTAGGCACTATGTCACCTCCCTGGTGCTACTTTTATTTTTTAAAAAAAACCACAAGTGGGTGACTTTAAAGAACGGAAATTTATTTTCTCACAATTCAGGAAGAAAGAAGTCCGAATTCAGGTTGTGGCTCTGGGGAGAGGTCCTTCTTTGTCTCTTTCACCTTCTGGCAGCTCCCAGCAGTCCTTGGCATTCCTAGGCTTACGGAGGCATCTGCTATGTGTGTCCACCTTCATGTGTTATCTTCCTCTGTATGGGTCTCCGGTGTGTTCTGCTCTTTTCATAGCTCAGAAGTGACTGGGTTTAGGTCCCACCTTACCCTGCTGTGGCCTCATTAACGTAGCGATCGCACCCACAGGTCCAAGGGCCAGGACTTCCATATATATTTTGTGGGGAACACAGTTCAGCCCAGTTGCTACTGGAAGAAGGTTTCATCGCCCCATCCATGTGGAAGATGATGGTGGGAGCTGTAATGATAGAGCAATGGCAGGGTGTAACCATGGCACCAGGAACCAAGCCCACTCTTGGATGCCAGGTGCTGTGCTAGACCCGTCTCTGTTCTCAGGATGCTCAGCATCTACTGAGAGGACAGCACATTTACTCAGTGATCGAGGCTTAGCAGAGGCTGCTGCAGGGTGCCTGTGATTGCAGGCTTCGTATCAAGTGCCTTACCCAGCACTGGTAAGCCGTGAATCCTGTATGGATTCAACTTTTGAACCCAACAGTATGTGTCATAAATCCTAGCCTCTATGCCTGTGGTTGAAATCCGATTGGGAATGGGTTGTCTTTGTTATGTTAATAAGACAGGATGAATGTAGCGTGTGTCTAGAGTCAGTCTCTTTCAAGATGTAAAGGAAGCAGAGATGAAGGAAGATCAATACCAAGCCACAGGGAGTTCTCCAAGGAACTAGGACAAGGTGACGAGACGGGGACCTTCCCCCCAGAGCCTGCAAAGAGAAAAAGCCTTTCCCTGGATCCTGTGCCCTGAACTTGGACTTCTAGCTTCCAACACTGAGAAAAGAAATTTGTTTTGTTAAAGCCATCCACTGGTCTTCCTGTTAGAGTAGCACCAGAGAACTAAGGTAGATCCCAAGTGCTTGTTATCAAATCCTTTGTCGGATGCTTCAAAAGAGGCTTGGAATTTCCCAGTAACTGTCTGGAGGCCAACTGGGTTATATCATAGAGGCTATTATGTGTGTGGAATGAGGGTGAACAGCTCAGCTCCTCTAGGGTACATGGTGTGTATGAGATCATTGCAAACCTGCATTTGTTAAAATGAGATGAAAGTAGACACCTTTAGTTCATCATTCATTTGCCTATTCATTCATTAAGCAAACAATTTATTTGCATTCCCCAGTGTATGAGGTGATAGGTTTGGCCCAGGTAAACAAAGACGCAATATTACACATCGCTCTTGACCTCAGAGAGCCTCTAAGCTGAGGGAGGAAGACAGCCTAACTGCCAGGTGATACGGCAGTGTGATAAGCTGAGTGATGGAGAGACCTGCAAGGCTTTGTGGGAATACAGGAGAGGGTGGGTGTGGAGAGGGCGCGCCAAAGGTTTCCTGGACGTGGTGCTCAAGCTGAGCTTTAAAGGACCAGTGGGCAATCAGCAAGTTCAGGGGTGGGGGCAGAGCAGGGAGATGCGTTTGGAGAGCCCTTCAGGAAGCACTGATGAAAAAAATAGAGGCATGCAGGCCATGAACAGTGTGGGGACCATGGAATGAAGTCATGTTCCTGGTCAGAGCTGACCAGCTGCTGCTAACCACAGGCTTGGTAGAGATAAGTGAATGAAACAGGGAAGAATGCAAGGCAAGAAGCAGACATTTCTTTCATGACTTTTTTCCAGTGCTTAATAGCAACATGAGGAACTTTCTGCTTAAAACATGGGGAGGTAGGGCTAGTGCTGGAATCTGTGGCCTTGGACTATTGGGGAAGTCTAGAAGGGTCTAGAAGAATCCTTGGTATAGTGTGTCTTTGGAAGTGAGCTCTGGAGAGCTACTTGGAGACTCAAAGGCTTGGTGCTTTATCTAGGACCCAGGGCTGGGTCCTTCCTGTGAGGACATCACCGGGCAGTACTCTCAGTCAAGGTCAGGGCCGGGCCTCTTTGGCCATTAGCCTGACAGTTGTGAGGCGAAGATATTTAGTATTTAACCCTGTTGCAATTATGTTTGTTCTTCAGATGATTATCCAGCCTTTCTGAGTTCCTTCAGGGTCAAGTTCCCTCACCCTCTGTGGTTTAGTCTCATAGTGCTTTCTGATCCTGAACCACCTCCCTCTATGGAGTATGTCATCTCGACCCCGGCCTCTGGAATTCCCCATAAGTCTGGCTCTCCTCAAGTCATCCCTATAGTTTCAGATGTAGAATATGGTCTAGTTTACACAGTGCCTTCAGACACATCGCAGTTAACTCTTAATTGCCTTCTGGAGATACCAGTTGTGCCATTTGCCCATCAAGTCAGTTCCAACTCCTGGCACCCCGTGTCGTATCAGAACAGAACTGTGCTCCAGAGAGCCTTCAGTGGCTCCTTCTACAGATGTCCATCACCAGGCCTTTTATTCAGGAACACCTCTGGGTGGACTCAGACCTCCAGCTTGTTCCGTTAGCAGCTGAGGACATTGCCAGTTTGTTTGCCACCAAGCACAGCGCCCTCTGGGGGTGAAGAGCCCTAACTCGTGTTTTACGCATGAGGAAACAGCAGCTCGTGGAGGTTGAGTGATTAAGCCAAGGTCATCCTAGTGAGCAGCAGAGCTTGGACTCAGATTCGGGTCTTTACTGTAGCTCTGCAGTGTAGACCCACTCATCCTTTCCTGACATGCTTCCTGGAGCTCTCATCTACAACCCCTGTTCGTTCGTTCATTCATTCATTGATTCATTCATAGGTAGCACTAGTGTGTATGTTCTAGCATTTCCAGTTTGCCAGGCCCTCTGCCAGGGGCTGGGATTGCGCAGGGACATGACAAGGGGCCTGTGCGCTCACAGAGCTTCCAGTTTCGACACCCTGAACGTATGGTTAGAGGTGTGCACATGCACCTCACGTTCACTCTTCAACCAGCTGGGTTGACTCCATAGGCCTGGGTTCATTCCCACCCACTCGCTGAAATGCTCCCTCCCTTCTGTCCTTCCTTCCCTTCCCTCCCTTCCCTCTGCTCCAGCCCTGAGTCACACACGGCCCCTCCCCCTGTGCCCCTCCTGCTCGGCTGGGCTCCCAGGCCAGGTGCTGCCCTCAGCTCCCAGAGCTGGACTCAGGCCTCTGCAGGCACACGTCCAAGGCCAGTGCTGGGCTCCTGTGGTTAAAGGAGGGGGATTGAGGGGCCCTTCCTACTCCATTAGGCCAGATGCAGCTGTTCTCGAGCCCGGGTACTACGAGGGAGTCCTCAAAGCTGTGCTGTGAGGGAGTGGGGACTGGCATCCTTCTGCAGCTCCCCCAGCCTGGTGCCAGGCTCTCGTACTCACCCCTGGCTTGCAAACAAAGTCCTGGTCCTCAGTAGAAGCCTTTGGCCTACAGAGAGGAGGATACACTTGTTTTCCTAAATTCCTGCCGTGATATTTCATTTCTCTATTCCAAAAAGAGAGAGAGAGAGAGGACTGTGGCCCTCACAGGGCAGTTGCGATGACCTCCGGTGACAGGGACTCCCAAGTGCCAGGTTACAGGAGACAGAGTTGGATGGTGACTGGCTGCCCAGGTGCACGAGTTTACTGCCAGAGTTTTCTGTCTCTACCACTTCCTCGGGAGAGCCAAGCAGCCACTCCTGGGCTCAACCTTGGAGCGGGAACATTCTGAGTGCTGTGAACATTTGGGACCGCCCACTATTTGTGAGCGTTTTGTAGTCTGTAGGGACTTCCACAAATAGGACCCCAATGCAAGCCTTCTGCTTGGACCTGAGTCCTGTCACAGGCTAGCTGGCTTCTCTCTCCCTGGTGGTCCAGTCCCCAAGGCCTTGGAACCGGCTTTCTTCTTCTAAAGTTATCCCCACTCACTTTATCCTCTGGGGTCAATCTTCCTCTAAAAGGACTCAGTTTCCCTAATGGTACGTTTCTTTCTGCCTCCAGTGTACATAAATCCCCCAAACCAAAACCCATTGCCATTGAGTCAATTTCAACTTACAGTGATCCTATAGGACAGAGTGGAACTGCCCCGTAGGTTTTCCAGGGCTGTAAATCTTTACAGACACAAACCACCTCATCTTTTTCCCATGGAGTGGCTGGTGAGTTCAAACCTCTGGCCTTTTGGTTAGCAGCCAGATGCTTTAACCACTGCACCACCAAACCAAACCAAACCTGCTGCCATTGAGTTGATTCTGACTCATAGTGACCCCTATTGGGTTTCTGAGGCAATAAATCTTTACAGAAATAGATTGCCCCGTCTTCTTTCCATGGAGTGGCTAGTGGGTTTGAACCACCAGCCTTCTGGTTAGCAGTCAAATGCCTTAGGCATTGCACCACCAGGGCTCCTTATATAAACCCCAAACCAAAACCAAACTCACTGCTGTGGAGTTGGACCTGATTCATAGCAACCCCTCCTTGGGTTTCTGAGGCAGTGTCACTATAGAAGTAGATTGCCCAACCTTCCTTCCAAGGAGTGGCTTAACAGTCACTATTAACCTTTTGGTTAACAGTCACATGCCTTAGTCACTATGCCACCAGAGCTCTTATATAAAGCCTGTTGTTGTTGTTGTTATGTGCCGTCGAGTCGGCCCCTACTCATAGCGACCCCTTCTTGGTTTTCCTAGGCGGTATCACTACAGAAGTAGGATTGCCCAACCTTCATTCCGAGGAGTGGCTGGTGGGTTTGAACCGCCAGCCTTCTGGTTAGCAGTCAAGTGCCTTAGGCACTATGCTACCAGAGCTCCTGTTATATAAAGCCTGGGCCCTCCTTTATTGTGAAGATTGCTCCATTAATCACTAAGGGGACCAGGCAACATTTTTTTTTTTTTTTAATT